AATGTCAATACAACTACAACGTCCTTTGATTTTAACTTGCATTGAAGCTATGTGGGTGATTGTTTTTTGTAAACGAAAATAAGTTTTCTTTCTGATTTCTAACTAAATCAAGTTAGATAAACATAAACACTTACACCTGTCACCTAGAAGGTAAGGCAGAAACAATGAACTTCCATTGGGCACAATGCCGACAGACCTCTTTCGCCTCGTTTACATACATATATCGAGTTAATAAATTCATTATTTTCTTTAATCTATCAACTGTTCATTGCTATTGAAGTCTTGAGTAAAAGAGTATATGAATGTAAGTATTATGAAATATTTTAAATAAAAGGATGAAGTGTCTTTGTATATCTGTATTCCTGCAATCTTCGCACAATATATCCAACCGCAGGAGAACATTGGATTTGATTTGCTGTAGCGTGTGAGACATGCGAGCGACCCGGATGAGCCGAGCTAAACCACTAAACAGAATTCAAGGCACACTTGAAGAGCCAGCGGTCAGAGGAGACGTGAGCGGAATGAGCAACGAGGCTGAGGCCAGTTCGAGGGGAATTATGACGAAAATGGATACGTACAGGCTCGGGGGCGATAATTTTATTTAGCCACCACTCGCGAAAACCCCCGCGGACGCGCTGGGGGTGAAATAATAATCCTTACATCTCGATCTACGAATTATAGGAGAGTCGAGTTTCTAACTAATGATTTTTTAATTTATACAAAGAAGTTTAGGTTTTCAATGCAAATATTATTTTGTGTGTAAATGATCGTCCTTTTAAGAATAAGGGTGACAAATAGCACACAATTCACCTAATGGTAAATGGATGCTGTGACCCATAGACATCTAGATCTATCCTCGATTAAGAATCAAGATGAATCGTTTCCACTAAAAAGTGTCTCTGGTTCTGCTGCTGTTTAACGCTGGTATTCTGTGAGAACGTGATCCTTCCCCGGCCGAGCCGACCCATTCTTACTGCAACCTGCAGCGTGAGTCTACCACACTAGCAGCAGTACATAACAACAGTTTAGCAGTGAAATTATAATGGGGTGTAATGATATTTATTTTTAAAATAATATTGGAGCGAAACAGTGCTTATATTTCACGTGATGGTAAGCAGCCACCGCAGCCAATGGACATCTGCTACCAACTACCAACAAACAAAGCCATAGATACGTTGAAACACTAGAGGAATAAATAAAAAAATCCCAGAAAGCATATATTTTTCTGGTTTTCTTACTCTTCGAACCGTTAATATCTCGAATGTAATGTTGGATGGTACAGCCATACAGCAACTGTGTCTCGACCGGGCAACGACTATTCTCTGATAAAACACCAGCGTAAAATAGCTCAACATAAGCTGCTATGGTCTGTATGGATGAGAACAGTGTTTTAATGGTAACGAGCCATCTTAGTCCTCAGTAGTTTCTGCATTTTGATTCAGGATTGAGAATAGGTGTGAGATTTTGGATGAGGATATCCAAAACCAGCGTTATTAGTAATTTATTGTCGAAGAACTGTCGTCAATTCCACTACAGTATAGACAACATAAAGATAATATACGTGGAAGAGCCATGCTGCAGCTATATTAGTAGTATAGTTGTAGCAGAAATGGGTCGGCTTGACCGGGGAAGGACCACGCTCTCACAGAATACCAGCGTAAAATAGTAGCCTAATGCTGCTGTGTTTCGTATGGTGAGTGTAGAGAACCAGTAACCCTTTTTACTGGAAACGAGCCATTTTGATTGGTAATCGAGTATAGATGTAGATGTCTATGGGCCACAGCAACCACTTACCATCAGGTGGACTGTGTGCTCGGTTGTCACCCTTATTGTATAAAAAAGGTAATTTTGTATTAACAAAAATTTGTTGCCAGTCTTATAACGTTTATTTTTTTAAAAATGCGTTTCGGTTCTTATGATAAATTTAATTACCCTGTCACAGCAGTGCTAGTTGCACAACGCACGATACTCAGCGAATTTGGCATTTAAAATAATAATAAGTGAGATTGCACAGGGCTTCCTGAATATTAAATGTCGTCGGTAGCGCGATCAACAATTAGCGGCATCATCTCGTCTCATCCGAATTTCATCGCATAATTGTCAGTTATAATTGAAAAACGCAATTATGCCGGTGAGCGCGGCGGTTAATTAATATTAAATTCGCAAATAATCGCCGACGAACCCCTCCCCGGGGAGAAGGGAGGGGCCTGATTGAATTATAGGGAAATTTTGAATTTTGAATAATTCACGGCGTCGGGTTAGCCCTTTATGGCACTCGGGAGCGGCGCCGGGTCGAGTGCTTTGTCTCGAAGCCTCGGACGGATTTTTAATTTTGGCCATAAATTAATGTGCGTGTGTTTTGTTGTCTCTTTAAAATTTTACAATATTAAAGTAAAACTTAAAGCTCGTCTTAACATTAGTAAAGAATATTAATAGTATAAAGATAGTAAAATGAGATAAGCGACTGTGGAATCAAGTTTTGGACGAATAAATATCTAGTTTTATATAATTAATATTCCATTTTTCAAAAAACATTACATTACACTGCAAGCGAATTAAGTAGAATTTCAAAAAAAAAATCCTACGCGATCAATTAAAAGTGTATCTGTATCGAATGAAAAAGCAACACTAATTACAAACCATTTAACATCTTGGCAAGTAAAAAACGTTTTCAAGTTATATACAATTTCGCATCTGTATGACCACTTGCCGTTGCTTAATGTTGTTATTAAAAAAATACATGTCATTTACACTCCGAATAGATACACGTAACTACCTACACTTAAGGAATTTTCAGACAATGACTGCTAATTTCAACGTAATGTACCTAGCATTTATTATATGTATAAAACGGTTGTAAGCCTAAAGATGCTTTGATCTAATAATAGAATGAGAAATCAAACTTCCAACAAATATTAGTAGTATATTAACTAAAATGTATTGAATAGATAAATTTATAATATGAAGGAAAAAACGCAATATTGTTTTTATATAATTATCATGGCGAACATAAACAAAAATTCTTTTTTATAAAAGGTTATACAGTTTCCATTTGTCAGTCAGGCTGTATAGCACAATAATTAAAGTACCGCATATAAGTACATACGAATGGTGTAACGTAACTCGCCAAAATTCAATTTCGTTCATTTTGCAACGCCCGCCGCCGACAAAACCGTGCGACAAACCAAACAATTACACAAACGTGTTTCGAAAGCATAATTTTTTCACGAAAAACTACGTGGAAATGCGGAAAAATAGCAACACCGATCGCTGATGCTTTGTTAGTTTTCGCGCCAACGCGCTGCCCATTTTTGACAGCTGTCAAAAGCCGCGCTTGTGATTGCGTCTTTTGTGAAATCACACCTTTATTCACAGCAAGGGTTTTTTTTTTTAAATAAAATTGTTAACATACAGAAACGACTTTATTAAGTTGTAGTGCATTTTGTATTATTTGAATAAATTCTAATCGGCTTTACCTTAATGGTCATATCTGTAAAGCGTACACAATATGGAAGTATGATTTTGTCATGCGTTAAGAATAAAAAGTATGAGGTGTGTATGTTAAATATTTGTAGTACATTTTTTGCCAAAATGAAAGCTATTAATTCCATAAATATTAGTTTCACTTTGACTAATTAATAAAAACTTGAAGCAGCTGTCCCAGACGCACAGGTTTTTATTTTTACGTACTGCGCTAGGATGCTATTGAAAGTTTTCTTAGAATAATTTAGTGGTTGTATATTAGAAGGGATCAATTTGAATAATACACAATGTAATCCTACACAAATTACCCGGCCCGTGTACGCGAGAGATAATCGTCGCGATTCGACGTCGATATGCGTCACACCGCCGTCCGCCTCATTTCAATACGCATTGTACTCGGCGCCCATTGGAACCGTAAGGGCATAACAGTCCTTTCAATGAACACCCATCCGTCATTTACGTGCGAGAGACGGATGACAATCGATCGAGATGCCTAAGGTAACAAGTGACGCGACGAGTGATCCCGACAACCGGGTTATGTGTTTCGATTTTTTCTCGCCGCCGAAGAAAGGTAAGTCGGATTGTGACTCGACGATGTATTGCTGTCAGTTTTGAATTGGCTCCTGAAGGGTGTTGACGTGTCACGTCGGATCTAGATCGGAGTGTGGACATGTTAATTGCTGGGTGTGGGACGTTGCATAGGAGTCATCTGACATGCGCTTGTGTAATCAACGTACAGCGCAGCGCGACCTTTGACTTTTTAATTACTCGAATATCTTTTGCCAAGAGACCTCCCCTTTCTCATTGATTGGCTCTTTGTGTTGATGACGTAATTTCAGACTTGAGCAGATCATGAAAAACGAGGCTGACTTAAACACTTATAAGAATAGATTGCGTGAAATGATTTTTAAATCTGATACTATTTATTCAGATGAAGAAACTAAAAGAACATTTGACTTTAATATGTTTTTCCTCGTTTTTTTTAAATCCTTTTAGAAAGGGGTTGAATGCATGTGGCAGGGATGGTTTCGGCACACTGTTCTTATTCTATAGCGTATAGGATTTCAAATTTCCTCAAAATATTTATGATATATATAAGACATGCATTTGCCACGATGTTTTCCTTCACCACCGAGCTCGTGGCAAATCGGCATCTAAAGTTGCAATTTAAAATTTGAACACGAGAAATTGCTAATAAGTCATTATATTTTATTACTTGAAAGCTGATAATTTAAGCTGTCAAAATTTCAAAGGAAATTCAATAGGACAGGAAAGTACGATGACTGGTTTCTTGAATCTTCACATTAAAATGTGTAAAAGTCAGTAAAACTATTAAGTACTACACGAAATAATATGAATAGGAATATTAGATCCTTCCATTCATCTTAAGTCACTGGTAGGTAATAGAGTATGTATCTGAATAAGCTCAGAAGGGCTAGAACCCAGAGCTGTAAAGCCAGTTTAAAAAAAATATGTATCTGAATATATAGGATTTGGTGAAAGCAATAGGAGCTCACCTGGATCTGTGGCGTCAAGGGTCTGCGGCGGCGGCTGGCTGAGGGGTCCGGGCGTGCCGCCAGAGCCAGGCGAGCGCACGTCGTCGTTCACCGCGCCACCGTACGACAGAGACGATGACGGTGGTCTCTGTTGAGAACAAAATACGAACGAAATGGAGTTTGGAGTGAATTTGGAAAAGTTCGATGTAAGCCGATGAAGCACCCACGTGCTGGGATTAATACGACGGCTAGATTGATGTTAAACAAAGCCAGGGTGATGCATTTATAGGTCAAGCAAATTTTGAAATTGGAAAACTGGGTACTAGTCTAATCTGTAAGTCGGTAAACTTCACTCATACAAAACGCAGGACTGATGATATAGGAAATTACAAAACGTTATAAAAATAAAAAATGAGTGATACTGAATTGGAAAATTTCCATGACATGGAATGAAAGCTGAACTGATTAATAACATCGAATATGTTATAAATGTCCAATTTAGTTCTTTTTTATTTCCCAGGTCCAAATGAATACAAACATTAACAGAATTCTAGTGATGCTTAAATTAAAATGTCCGAGTCTTACACAATAACCTGTTCATGAAACTTCATCTACAAAATCCGATCTCGATACGTCTTAGCAAACACCAGTCCTTATCACATACTCCAACGACACTATTATTTTACTACACTAAGCGTTATTAACATTCCAACACAACTTCCTTACTATCATCAGGCCCGTATAACGGCGAGTGTTTACTGTGGTACAACATTATGAAAGGACGAAAGTGGAAGCGAGTTTAAATTTCACACACGGTTCATAGAGCTCGGACGTTGGGAGTCCGCGACTAATGAGCTGCAGCACACGCTAAATCGTCATTACTGCGCCGGCGCAACAGGGTTACCATACGCATATAAAAATTTGCTAAATTTTTTGTTAAGCAGTTTCAGTTAAGTTTTGTTTTATTTGTTTTACAAATACTTAAGCGCAATGTAAAATAAAATGTAATTGAAAATAAAGGATTCTTAAATTTCTGTTCACTTCACCGAGTTCTATGGTAACTGCTTCACAGTTCAGGCTACACGCCTTTGGAACTCCTTGCCCGATGGCATCAGAAAAGCACCTAATAAGTATGCATTTAAAAAATTGGTCCGTAATCATCTATTAAAGACAACGCATTTTACGTGATTCATCCATTTAATATGTATAGCTAAACAGACGCATATATTCATAGGTATTTGTATGTACTAATTATATATGTAATCAAATATGTATATTTGTATATACATGCCATATATTTTTATATATATGTATGTATACGTCATATATGTACAGTTTATTTCTTAGTAAATTGTATGTATTATGTAGTTAATTATTATTTTGTGTAGTGTTATTTTATTCTATATTGCCGCACCTACGTCAAATTCTCACCACTACATGGGTTGACTGGTAGAGAATGCCTCAAGGCATTAAGTCCGCCCTTTGTATTCTTTTGTTTTAAGGAATGCAATAATAAATAAATAAATAAAAAAAAATTCAAGGATCTATTAATCTGATTTTTTTTTAATAAAATTGACGTGACAAACGAATTTAGAACCCATGGACACCTGAAATCAACTTTAAAGAAAGCTCCAAATGCGTTGTCACCTCTGAGGACTGAGATGGAATGCCTCGCACCCTGTAACTATGCCGGGTCTCTGCACCCTTCAAACCGGAACACATTAGTTTACGTACTGCTGATCAAAAGGCGGAACCTATCCTAACGAACTCTTAGGCAAGAGTCCTTCCAACAGATATAATTTGCAGTAACAAATCATAAGCTACTAGCTGATTTTTGAAGGGAAACTACAAATCCATTGATTATAAACGTCTTGCTAGTTACAAGGCAAGCGAAATCAGGAAATCTGACGAGTCCATGTTATCTGGACTATTCGAGGAAAATCTTTATCCAGGATGTGAAAGTGCATTCACTCCGTCATTTAGCTAAGTTGCTGGCATAATGCAGTTTGAGGCCTGGCGTTCGCTAGATGTGATTCATAGATACGCAATCGTAGATCTAGCGGCGGACTTGCCTCGTAGCTTTTCTAGATTTAATCGTTATGTAAGCTTATAATAATAAAGATAACGGATCAAAAATTACGTAAGGTAACATTGTTTACAGTTAAAGTAAAGATGTAACTTACAAAAGCTATACAAATATATAAATCGAACAAGAACAATATTTTAGCAATAAAAGAAAAAGTTTTAAATTTATCTAATTGAATTAATTTATGCAACTCCCGAATCCACTACCGAAAAATCATTTTGTGGTGTCCTAAGAGGCGAAAGAGGAGGAAAAAGAGGCAAATGAAACAGGAGGTTAAGAGCAGCATATTCCTGATAACAACATCAAATAATTAAAAAAAATATGGTTGACAACATTAGATATGAGGCAGTTTATCCGGGCGGCATATGTCCCGAAGCGGACTTTTGATAGGCCGTAATGATGACGATGAATTGACTGTTAACAATTTCAGCAAAACCAAAACTAGAGTGTTAAGCATAAAAAGCTAGATACAAGAACATATAAATCAATGCCTCTACAATACGTTTCTATATACTTCAATAGATCTGCGACCAGAGCAGTTTCAAGATTAGCCTTCAGCGCTCTCTCCAATCTAACAGCGTTCAATTAAGCGCACGGCGAGACCATTATCTTGAATTAAAACAATACGCAGTGTTGTAATGAGACACCTAATGATCGTTACTGCTCGCAATCAATTTTACAATGCATGAGCTGCAATTAATTCACTGTTTTTTTCGGTAATTAGCGCACCGGTCGTGGCTCAAACGAGCGCGGAATCAATCAAGTTTTACTTCGGCCGGTGGCGTTCGTTCCAGTGCCTGCTTTGAATATTAATCTGAAATTTTTGTCTTATTCTTTAGACAACTTATCCATTTGTATTATTGTTACATTGCTTGGGAGTACGTTGTTTTACATGTGTATTAGTGCGTGTGAAAGAGAGCGAGATATTTTTGTTCTCATTTTTATTGTGGTAAAGTAAAACAATTGAGTTACATATTTTGCAGACAATAAAAATTAGAATTCATTAATTTCTTTAGTGTCATATGGAATTTTTATAATATGTTAAAAAGAGCTTAAACTGCTTCTAACCAACATCCTGTCGGATAAACTAGCATACATATAACACTCAGAAATAAGAGTACAATATAAGAGAATAGCAATATAAATATACAAGTAAGGGTGTACTTTCTATTGTGATACTCGTATACCATTCTGTTATAAATTGCTTAAAACCTCCAGAAAACATAAGAAACGTTTCATAAAGTTCAATAACATTATTCGTCATAAGATCTTACGTAATACCAGAAAACATTATTTATTAGTAATACGCCGTTATCTAAACCGCCAAAAAAAAGCGTCTACCCTCGCGTACGGAAATTGTAACGATGCAAAATGGGTCCGAGATGCCACGCTCGGAAATAGAACACGCGCGGTCTGACGGGTAATTCCAATAATCATTAAAGAAGGCGAGCAGGCGGGGGCGAACGTATCTGGAGCAGATGTCCGACACCGCCGACAGCGACACTGTCGGCCGCCGACACTTTCAATTACACCGAACTGCATGACGTTACTCAGGTCTATTCCCTAATTTGAATATCGGGCACATGATTCCTAAGTCGGCAGGATCACGACAATATATTTTGATGTCTCTGTGTCAAGAACTTAAAGGCATTTCTGAGAATTATTTTTCAGCAATGTCGTACTTCTATCTAATAAAAATAGGTACGATCGTCAAACACGTTAATCCTACAATAACTGTATAGAAATGAATGAAATGAAAACTCTTTATTTTCTACTATTTATTCGCTTACTCGTTATTTTATATTAGTTTACTCACATTCCGTTATTAATAATTAAATACCACTACAACTATTTACATAACCATTACATAAGCAATATATACAACATAGGCTCTATGTACATTACAATACGTCAAAAGAATGTCGATACCAATAAAAACTATATTCATTGCTGCATAACTCTTTGTCGGATCTGTAGCTATGCAATATCAATGTTTTTGTATTCAGTTTCTGTACCTACTGTCGCTTCTCATATATACGATGGACATCAAATATCTACAAAAGCCACTAAATAAATGAAGAATGAAGTCCATGTATAAAATTCTTTAAATTCGACTATGCTAAAATAGCTTTTGTTTGTTACGTGGTAGAGCAACGCTGCAACTTTAGTACTGGTATAGTCGGCACGAACGAGGATGGACCACGCTCTCACAGAATACTAGCGTAAAATAGCAGCTTAATGCTGCTATGTTTTACTGGGTACAAGGCATTCCATATATCCATCCTCAGGGATGACAAATCTGCATTTTGATTCTTAATTGAAATAGATGTGTATGGGCTACAGCATCCACTTACCATCAGTTGGACTGTGTGACCTTTGTCGCTCTTATTTTAGAAAAAAAAATATTGAAATTTAATTTATATCAACACTAAAATAATTTGGCGGTTTGTTTTTTAAAGGTCCTCTGCAGTGGCAGGAAGGACGGCCGCTAATGCGTTCCGTTCACACCATGTGTGAGAATCAAAAATGACTTACTTCGTGAGTTCATCATTATGGCCCCTCTTATTGTTATAATTTTGTTTACACACGTCACTGGGGCCGGTAATTTGCCGTCGTTAGCGAAAACGCTGGCATTTGGTTAACGTTAACGAGTAACGAATAGTAGAACACCTTTCGTTATAATTATTTATCAATAAACACGGCTTCACGCGTTACGACGCGTTGTCGACACGCAATACGCCATTTTTACTAACACGAATATTATCTATACTACAAATAAATAAAGTTGAAGTGACTGTTTATAATGTCAAAAGTACAGCGTTTTACTAAATGCATATGAAAGTATAAACGGTACTTATAACAAAATACACTTTTTAAAATTTTTCTCTGTCTGTCTGTTTGTTTCGGCTAATCTCCGAAACGGCTGGACCGATTTTGACGGGACTACCAATGGCAGATAGCTGATGTCATAAGGAATAATTTAGGCTACTTTTATTTAAGAAAAATAATTAGGGTTCCTCGCAAAAATATTAAAACCCTAAATTACACGCGGGCGAAGTCGT